TCGCAGTGCCAAACAGAAGGTTGTTGTGCGGCCATTCTTGTGCAGGTGTTTCGTCATTTATCACTTATCCACTACAATCGAATATCCATCCCAATGAGTGAAACTTTCGCTCTCGGAAATGCTATCTATCGATAGTGACCTATTAAGAAGGCTTCTGAAGGGATCATTCTCCGACTTCCCGTTTCAACTAAATACTGCACAATCGTTTCAACTCTAAAGACTCTCAACGACGAGCTTTCTTATTAAAGTTTTTGTTTTCGCATATTTGAGCAATAGATTTTTTGCACATGAACGCTCATCGAACTGAAATACTTTCGATTCTGTAACAGACGAATGTTTTGCAAATATACAACTGTGCAACTTATTCAGTGCTCTAAACTGCACTGAATATTGTGATATGACTTCAAAAGATTCAGTGCACTACTCTCATTTGGAAATCCATCAGAGATAGATTCAGTTGAAGGCACTTTTCACTTTTGCAACAATTTCGATCATCTACCAAGTCAGTGCAGTGCAGTAAACATGCAGAGTGCAAGTGCAAATTCCCATTTCAGGATACACGATTCTTGGTGTGCAAGTATCAGTTGTCGCATGCCAGCGAATATTTCCGATCGTTATTTTTGGCCAATAAATCACTACCTCTATCAGGTGCACATCAGTGTGCGATGAATGAATTCGCCATTGTTGTCTCGTCATTTCAACATCCTCCACCAGCCACTCAGTTTCGTTGGTTTTTGGAATGTGCCGTGCAGGCGCCGATTCTCAAAGATATTTCAGGTCAGATTTTCGAAGCAAAAGTTCTCAAATTACGCAGAAAAAAGGTGTTTCATATTTTACATCAAAAACACTGATTCATGTTCAAGATTCTTGACATAAATTTCAGTGTAATTTTATCGCCGCTCTTTAATGATTAATGTTGTGGCATATGCGCTACAAATTTGCCTAGTGTAGAATATTATTAATGTTCTGTGTAATCTTCTGAGATAACATGCGGCGGATATGATGTTAAGCAATTTTATAATCTCTACATAATAATTATACTATTGTGTTGTGCTCATCAATGACAGCTCCTCACAGCTGTTGTTCACTGTTATTTGTTATTTGTTGTGATTATGCGAAGGAAGCGTTAATGCATTCCGCAAAAATTCATTATCGTAGTTTATCACTTCGTAAACTTTCAAAAACCCACTAAAACATATGACGCTCTATTCTTTCAAGTTTTCTTCAGATGCGCTCAACCAACAACAGCTAAACCATTCTTCAAACCAATGTTCTCACTTTAAACAAATCCCCTCCGCTCAGTGATTTATTTATCCTCTTGGTTTTGGTCACTTCCTCAAACTAATTCAATCAAACTTGACTCTATCAAAAACACATCCATACATAGATAAGCCAACAAGAATGAATCCTATCGATAGGCAGATCATAATTTTTGTCCAAATTCCACCAAAAGTGCCTTTTTTGCGTAACACTTATTCATTCTCTCATGTTTATCCAACAGTACGAATCGCATAAAATTGCCATTTCATGCTCATACTTTCTACTCAGGTAACAGTCTCTAGGTGACTTAGGCTTAAGAATGCAATTTTTATGTATCATATAAAGAAAGGAACTCCTATTATACAGAATGTGTACTTGTGAATGTACTCATAAAAAAGAAATTTGTTGTATTTAAACTAAATGCAGCTTATTCACATTGCACTGAGTTATTCGTGATAATTAACGATGGTTCATTGAACACAAACTTCTCAATGAGACTCCAAACTGACTGATCGGAGATAAAAATGCAGAGAGACCGAATGACTATTAAAGTGAANAAGAGAATGGCATAGAACACTTCACAATTAATGTTGAAAGAATGCTTCTGAACAGGGTTGTTACTCTATCAAAAACTAATTGTACTCCTTTTACTGTAGTGGACCAATACTGAGTACAATATCATAACTGGCTTATGAATAGCCATCAACCATAATAGATAATGATCGAGCTGTTGTGTAAGTTCTTGAAAAGTATTCGTTGTTTCAGACGAGACACTCGAAACTTGCATGCGATTATCGAAAAGATTCAAAGCGCAAGGCCTGGAAATGCGATGTGCTCGATATATCCAAGAGAATGTGAGTAGTAGTTTCACAAGAACTTGCGATCAACTCCTCAAAATTGCATCATATAAAGCCGATGAAATGAAACATATTCTCAGCAATCACTTCGTAATAACCTCTATAAAGGGGCATAAGTGCCCAAATTACAAATCGACTGTGCATGTGAACAAATCTTAAGGTAAATAAAAAATCACCAATGGTCGCGTTGTGCTGGTTGAATTGGGTGTTGAAGCATAAATTCGATCGTGCCTCTCATGACGCATGTCTACCGTGTGTTGCCAGTGCTTCACTTCAGTGTCTCGAACAGCACCGTAATATGATCACAGAGAAATTACTCGCCGATCTACTGGCAGCTAAACTCAGGATGCTCTATGATCAGGTTTGCTTACTGCTAAACAACTGATTCATCGATCGCCGCTTATGCCAGACTCAACGGAGA